AAGACTGACCACCCAAATGTTGATAAGAATGTGGAATGACTACAATTCTTACACGTTTCTGGCGGGAGTTTAAAATATTGCAATCAATTTGGAATTCTGTCTGTAAGTTTTTCACAAAGTTAAACATAAACCTACTTTATGACCTAGAAATTCTAGTTTAGGTATTTATCTTTTTGAGTAGTTTCTTCAGCACCTATGCCTGTTATATTCATTACAAGAACAAGTTGGGAAAAAACATTTCTAATAAACATAATTGAAGTGGGTTATTTGGCAGAATACACAAAGAACTCATATAAATTAATAATAAAAAAAAGGCAACTCATGAAAAAAGTGGTAAAAAAATATAAACAAGTAGTGCTCATAAAAGCCTGTTTAAAAGGCTCTTCTACCTAACTGATCATCAAGGAAATGCAAATTAAAATAAGATGGAAAGAATTTTAAAAGTTAAGATACCTGATAATATGGTTTTGGAGATAATATGGAAAATGGGAACTCACCTCCTGGGGGCGTGTGAATTAACACAACCCTTTGGAGAATAATTTGCAAATATGTTGTGTACCTTTGATCCAGCAACTCTCCTCTAAAGCACATATCTTTGAGAAAAAAATGCATGTGTGCACAGGAACATGCATAGAAATGTTCGTAACAGGAATGTTTGCAATAAAAAAGCATTCTGGAGAAACCTAAGTGTTCATTGATATTAAAATGGGTAATTCTGTATCTTCACTCCATGAAATAATAACCAGCAATGAAAATGAGTGAGCTAAGAACTAACTACCTGCAGCAATGTGGATGAATATCGTAAACATAATACTGAGAGGAATAAAGCAAATTGCAAAAGAATACATGCTGTAAAATGATAGCATTATGATGATGCTGAAATAGTATGTTTTGTTTAGGGATAGATAGGTGGATGGATGGATAGATAGGTAGGTGGATAGATAGGTAGGTAGATAACCAGACAGACAGACAGATACATAGATAGATATGTAGATAACATAGATACGTAGATGATAGATAGATAAATAGAAAGATGATAGATAGATAGATGATAGATAGCCAGACAGCAAGAACTGAAGAAGCATATTATAGTAGTAATTAATAGCACAGACTCTAGATCCCAGCTCCTGGATTTGTATTCTAGCTCTGTAATTTGGTAACTATGTGACTTTGGGCAAATTACTTAACTTCCTCATGTTACAGGTTTGTCATTTATTAAATAAGGATAATTGTGGTATCCAGCTCATTGGAGTGTTATGAGGTTGAAAAATGAGTTGATATTTGTAAAGTACTTAGAACAGTGCTTATCAGAGTGCCTATATCTGTTAAATAAATACAAATGATAAACATCAAATTCTGGAGAGTGGTTTCTTGGTGTGGGAGGAGAGAAGTATCATGGGGGTTTCAATTATATTTCTAGTATCTTGTTTCTTAAGCTGGATGATGAGTACACAGATGTTTTTATTTATTTATTTTTTGATGAGTCAAAATATTTCAAAATTTAAAATTATTTTTTAAATTAAAATAATTTAAACAAATTATTTCAAAATATATTGTCAAACTTGTGGGAGAAGAGATGAGTTATAATCAGAGATTGATATTGTGATCTATTTCAGCTACCTAGGAAGAGAACTTTCCTTAGAATATATAAATCCAATTATTGTAGCTTCGATTTTGCTAACATTCTAGCAGCATTCCTAAACCTCAAGGACAAAGCAAGGAATTCCAGTGGGCCTTGGAATCAGAAAACCTAAGTTTTCTTCATGCTTCTGCTGTTGATTCATTTTGAGTCTCTGAGCTAGTCTGTCTCCAGGGACATCCTCATGCTTCATTTTATTTATGTTTAGAATGGATGTGTTGTCTTGCTCTTCTTTCAAATGGCAAGAATGGAATCGTCCTTCCTACTTCAGCACAGAAGCAAGAGTTAGAATTTCCTTTCCCGCCCTCCCCCACTGCCTTTCCCTAACTAGCAAAGAAGTTTGTTTTATTTTAATAAAGTCTGTGAAAAATGATTCATGCTCGAAAGCAGCCTTTTGCCTTTGCTTAATGACAGCTTCAGCTTCTGAGTGTAAGCTAAAATGTGGAATAATCCCATGTGGTTTTCAGAATGTACATATGAGCATATGTGCTGGGCTTTTGAAAATTTCTTTGTTAGTGAATCTATTGTGCACATAAGCAAGAATGGTCTAGACTCTCCGAAGAGGAGAGTCGCAAGAAAAATCTTCTAATTTCCCAATTGTTATTTCCCAAT